CAAATGAAGTTCTTAGCAATGCATATTACTAATCAAAAATTAAGTTTTGATATATTTACGGTAGGACATTTACAAAATATCTTCATGGAACGTGATCTCTATTTAATATCCTAATGATTTTTGGCATAAAAGAAAAATCGATAATTGTGACCCATACAATGTATTGTTGGCTATTGCTACAAATATACCCCAGCGACTTATGACTGCTTTTGTGCTCCAGGGTCACATATATGTAGATAGTCAAATCCTGGTATAATGGCACTGTCTAGTCGAACCTTTAACCTTATGAAGCATATTATATTATATTTGATACATGAATTTCTAAGGCCTCTAAATTATCATCATGATCAAAATTTGGCTAAATAGCCTGCTGTACAAAATATTCTACATGCCTTCTGTTGCCTCATTGATAGTTTTTTACAAATCCAAAGGCTTTTTGGCCATATGAATATCCGCTACTGCACTAATTTGCATATGACACCTCTGAATTAATCTGAGGTGTTTTTCCTCCGTGAAGATGAGCTCCATATTGTAACTATATCATACTATATGAGCCATAAAAGCCTGGTGTGTAAAAATAATACAAAACATAACACATATGCAAACTCTTTTATATTTTCTTTTTAGTTTACAGTTTTACACGTTTTATATTTTATTTTGTATAAAGGTTCAATTACCTGTTCCATTTAAACATATAGTCAAACCAAAAATTATAGATATAATATTTGATTTTTTTTTTTTTTACTAGTGGGGTGCAGGCCACTATAGTTCATGACATATCTGACTCATATCTGTTTAGCTGTTTGCCATCCGAAAAGAAATCTCATCAGATTTTATAACTCCTATCCAAACCACATTAATATGTGATTAAAATGTGTATGGATAAACAGTCAGATCGTTTATCCGTTATTAGAGACATGACGTGTATGTAATATCATGCACATCAGTAGCATTTATAGCTTTTAGATACCAGATTTTGACTGTCTGATCAAATAAATCCAGTTTTATTATTCCAAAACAAGGTCTGCAGTGTGAACACATCAGTCTTGAAAATCGTATTTGGAAATGGATGTATGTGAAGTGTGAATCAAGTCAATTCAGACTGATTTTTATTAAGTTATTTTCAGTCAAACCAAAAACTATTCAGATATAATTTTTGATCATTTAGTGGGTGCAGGACACTATAGTTCATTTATGTAAGTGAGGATAGCAAAATAAAGTGAACTGTGACAAATTATACCCAAAGATTCTTCATACAGTGGACTACCAGTAAAATTAATAAACAATTTGGGACTAAAATTATTCAAACACTTTGACCTGACCATGTTTTGTTTAAGTGTTTTTTCTTTAATTGCTAATGCGACCTTTTTACACCACAGACTGAACAAAATTAAGCAATGCTCGGTAACTGGTTGACCTAAATTGGTATTATCTAATTGTGTACTTAATTTTAAAAGCTGAATCATTTTTGGTTGATTGTAATCCATTACATACCTTTCTATCAAAGTTATCTAACATTATCAAGCTGAATTTGTTCTGACACAGTTTAACTCTGAGTTCTTGTCATATTTTATTACCATTTTCTAAACTATAGCAAATAAACGGTGATCATGTGAGAAATGTTGACGGTGTCTGAATAAATTTTGGTTTGACTGTGTGATATATATATATATATATATATATATATGTGTGTGTGTTGTCAAACGATTAATCGCGATTAATCGCATCCAAAATAAAAGTTTTTGTTTACATAATATATGTGTGTGTACTGTGTATGTTTATTATGTATATATAAATACACACACATGCATGTACAGTATATATTTAAGAAAAATATGTTATATTTTTATATTAAATATGATTATTAGGGGTGCTCCGATTGATTGGCTACCCATCACTATCGGCCGATAATCACGTTGGGATGTTTGATCGGCGGTCTCTAAAAAGGCCGATCTCAAAAAACTGATCTCAAGCTGATAACGCTGCTATGAGAGATTTGGCACGACATGCAGCTGCACCTTCTCAGTCTCTGTCCTGTGCGGGTAATTTTCTTCATTAAATAACTTATAAAGTCATTTGAAAACCTTGTGTGAGACGTAATTTCACAAACAACGTGAGTGAATCACCGCGCACGCTCTCTCTCTCAAAATACGCAAATGGCATCAAATCACCACACATCGCGTCTGTCAATAAGCGAGCTGCACGCTACACAGTTGACACAGGAATAGTCACTTGCACAGTCGAGGCAGTGTCACATCGTCACTAAAGTTTATAAATTGTATTACCTTTAAATTCTTACCAGTGTTTAACCATTCAGTGCTCGCGCGCTCTCCTGGAGACCATGCACAC